TTTTTTTTTTAAAATTTTTTAGCGTTTTCAGAATTTTTTTTTTTTTTTTTTAAATTCGAAAAGGAGATAACAAGTTTAAAATGAATTAACAATGTATTATTCAATTTGCCTAGTACAGATTAGGTGATGAAAACATCTATTTGATAAAAAATATAGAAAATGACAATCAAAGTGACTTCAGTTTATTTGGGAGACCACTCGATTATCAGAACAGTTAATGGTTAATATGTAAGTTTAAAAAAAAAAAATGTGTAATTATTATTTTTGAAGTCCTAAAAGAAAAATAACTTTACTTATCACAAATAATACAAAACTATTTATTTACTATAATATTTGGACCTTTTAAAATATAATGGGACTGAGGTAAAAAAATAAATAATAAATCTTTGCATGATAATTATAATGCAATTTAAAAAGGTGAATGCAGATTTAAGTAAGATAAAAGTCGAAAAATAAGTTTAACCTGCAAATTATTGCAACAGGTTAGTAAGTACAATCGAAAATATGCGTAAACAATGAAATTATATTTCAATTATTTTATAGCCGTTGGTTGATGAATAGGATCTATGCCAAAAGGACTTACTTATCCACCATCCAGTCTTTCAATTTTCAAAGGATAGTGATATTCCTTCCTTTAACTGTAATGCTTGAACTTACTCTAGTTCTATGCTGTCTACAGCATTAATTAGTTACTTTGGTCTTGGTAAATAAGTTGCTGTTGTCAAGTATTGTCACACAGTGACAGTGTTGTGTTGTAAATCAAATGAAACTGAAATGTAAATAGTAATTCTTCATTAGTCTTCATGTGTAGACACTGCCTTAATAATAATATTATAAAATAATAACATTACCTTTAAGTTACTGTGACCAGACTATAACTAATTTAATATAATATTAGACTAGTAAATGTAAAATTTAAAGTGTAAAATACATGCCACTTCAATATCAAGAATTAACATGTCATTAAATACTGTTTCAAATCAGATGGCGAGGCATCATGATGTATTCATAAGAGTTTCGTTGTGACACAAAAGAACCTCTTACAACTTGTTCATTTTTGAACATTTTGACTGTGCACAACAAAGAGCCATGAGTGGGCCATCTTTAAAGGTTCCTGATCACCTGCCACTAGGAAAATCCAAACCTTCCAAGCCTGAAAGAAAAACATCAAATCCTAAGCCCTTGACTGCCTTGAGGTTTCTTATTTGAATATTTTAAAAAATAATTTTGTAGTCAACACTGGCTTCACTATTTTCAATAGTACTTAAATATACATTTTTGTAGCTTTAAACGCATTACAAACTTCTGTTTTTTACTGCATAAACATGTACATTTTTCTTTTAAATTTTGCAAAATAATGATATAATTGAGGCATAGCCTTAAAGTAAATTGAACTTTAATTCCCATTCTCATAAGCCAAGAGGAGCTATCAGACTTTCCATGTGTTACTTTATGGATGTCAGAACTACGATGGGTGACAGAATTAGAATGCATGAGCATTCTTCAAGGGAAACCACTTTGCCCTAACACAGCACAGGACACTGCAGCATCACAAGTTCAGTCATACAGAGGTGAGAAACTTTTACAGAGGGGTTCAAGTATTACAGAAATAATTTTACATTGTTATATTTATAACCAAATGGCTAGACTATCTGGGACATCCATACAGATCATTAAGAGTTTAAATATGATTAGACTTTAGTGTATTGATGAACCTTATATCACCCCTACCCTGTGCTATAAAACTGTCAAGTAACTGCATGGAAAGTCAAAAGCAGTTTTCATAAAATTAAAATATTCAAATAAACATAAAGAAAGCCCCATTACTGTAGGTCCCTGCATCCCTGAGGGGCTAAAGCCCATTTAGGGCTTTGGCCAGCTCCTTCCTCTCAGACCTAACTGATGCTTTTCTTTTCCATGCATAGATTCCCAGCTGCTGTAGATGTTTTTCCAGATCATCCATCCATCTAAGCCTAGGTCTGCCTTTGAGCCATTTTCCTCTGGGGTTTTGGTGGTACACCCTCTTCCCTCCTCTGTCATTTGGAATTCTTTCTTAGTGTCCCGCCCAGCTTAGCCTGCCCTTTTTTTATTTCTGCTACTAGCTTGGGATCCTGGTATTGGCGGTACAATTCTTTCTGTTCGTATTCTCCATCTATATTCATCATTTTCTCTCCCATGTGTTTAACAGGTTTTCTGCCATTTTTGTTAGGGTCCAAGTTTCACTTGCGTATGTTACTGGTCTAATTACAGTTTTATATAGTTTTCTTTGTTTTTCTTGTAATGTTTTTACTTTTTAGTATTTTGTGACTACTGAAGTGTGCCCCGTTTCCGGGCGATATTCTTTCTTTTATTTCTGTTAGTAATTCATGTCTTTCATTTATTAAGGATCCTAGATATTTGAAATGATTTACTTTTTCAAAAGTGTGATTTCTAATTTTAATGGTTTCATCTGTCTGTTCTTCTCTTATCATAATAATGTATTTTGTTTTTTTGGTTGTTAACTTCCAGCCCTGCTTGTAGTGGTGCATCTTCTAATTCAATAAAAGCCTTTGATATGTCTTTACTACTTTTCCCTAACAGTGCTATGTGATCAGCACATGCAAGATACTGAAGGGGTTGGTTGTAGAGAGTGTCTATTGGGTCTTGGGATTCCCTCATAATGTATATTGTTATTGTTCCTCAGGTCTCAATATGTATGCTTCTTATCACTCTCTCTAATGTTAGGTTAAATAGCATACAAGACAGTGAGTCTCCTTGTCTTAGGCCTCATCTTTTATGAAATTCCTGTGAATATTCACACGGAACCTTGATTTTGCTTTTTGAATTGTTTATTGTTATATGTATCAGTTTTGTCATTTTGCTTGTTATGCCAAGCTCCTGCAGAGTCTCATATATATGTTTCTTTTGATGCTTGCTATCATAGGCCATTTTATAGTCCACATAGAGTTAATGTACTAGGATATTATATTCATAACATTTCTCTAATAGGCATCTGATGATGAAAATCTGATCAGTTGTTGATCTGTTTTGTCAGAATCCACATTGGTAGTTACCTTGTATTTCTTCAGAGTACGGTTGTAGTTTTTTTGCATTTAGCTTTGTCAATATTTTGTATATAACATTTAATTGGGAAATTCCTCTGTAGATGTGCATTCAAGATTGGAACCTTTCTTATGTATTGTTATTAGTGATGTTTCCCATTCTGTTGGAATTTTCTCTTCTTGCTAAATATTAGTTATAAGTTTATGTTTCTGAGTGTGTAGTTCTCTTCCTCCATATTTAATAAGTTCTGCTGTGATGAGGTCTTCTCTGGGGGCTTTGTGGTTTTTCATAGAATTGATTTGATTACTTCTGTAGTTTCTTCAAAGTTGGGGAGTTTATGAAAAGGTCTTGTCATCCAAGTAGTTGTTGATAATCTCCATCTTGTCTGTTATATGCATTTAGTCATAATATTCAGCCCTATTTACCAACTTAGTCTACCCTAGGGTTCTATGGCTTCTGTGTCTAGGGGTTTAATTATGTATACGTCACAAACTATATTCATATATTAAATATCTTTATTAATGAACTAATCTACATCTTGAACTGCCATTACCCACAAGACCACACTCTACAATAATAATACATCATATCCCCTTTCACACAATATGTCACAAGATACAAAGCATATTAGATAAAACAACACACATAGTCTCCAAACAACACGCAATCACACTATACATTCAAGTCCTTAACATTCTCCATCCTGGCTCTTGCACATTTGCGGTATGGCTTGGTATCCATTTTTTTTTCATCTTTTATCTTCATCTACATTCCTCTAATATTTCCCTCTCTTGATAAGCTATTTTTTTTACTTTAGCCTTTTGTGACCTTCTGTATCTTTTGTGGTAACATGAATATTGATAAATGTTCTATTAAACGTCTCTCCCCCCCCCCCCCCCC